CCACTCAAAAATCGCGCTGCCTCCGCACGTCATCAGAACCACGTGACCGCAACCCAACTATTGGCCTCTGTTCCTTTTGACACCAAAGGCCTTTCTTGGCATCATTTCTATGCAGGTCAAATTTGTACAGCCATGTTCTGTTTGTAGATTGATCCATGTGCACACAGTAAGCTACAGGAGTGCAGGCATATTTAATCATCTTCTGCACTCCTTGCTGCTGTTGTAGATATTTTTGTCTATATTGTTACATAGTTTGATATCATAAGCTCATATAGTTTTTGACAACCTTGAAGAATCAAGAGCACTAAAAATACTGTGTGCTTTAGAGAAATGTTGATTTAAGTATCTGGTAAAAAGTCTACAGCTCTATAGCCTGTGAAAAACAGTTGTGCTCTGTAACTACTACAACGTTTGCTGAGGTTACTTGGTGACGAAGAAGAATCAGGGATCCACACTCATTAAGGAGCCATTCATTGTCATGGCATTCTCAGCAGTTTGTGCACCACTGACTTCATGGCGACGTGTTCACATAGTCTAAGCCTGGGGAAAACTTCTAACCAACTGCCATAATAGTTTCATTTCATTAACCGCTCTGACTGGTAATGAGAGAAGCAAAGTGGTGACTAATGGCAGTGGGCAGCAGCTAGTGCTGCGGAAGCAGGTGCCAGTGCTAAGCATACACTAAGTGTTTTGTTAGTGTTATATGAACAAATGGTTAGGTAGAGGAAAGGAAGGAAAAGAGGACTCCTGAGTACAGATGGAGATTTAATGAAAAGCAAGCAAAGACTCGCACTACAATGTGACGGATGAACTCCAAACATCATTAAAAGTCTGACTAAGCACATTTGACAAACCGGTGTACAAATGAACCAGATGGCGCACAGCGTAGTGCCATTACTGGAATAAAAGCAAAAGCAGCGCTCCTATTTAGACACAAGTGTGAACATGATCATTATGACCATTTTAATTAGTGAAAACAACTAAAGATAATTACTGCAAATAAATGAAGGCATGCTTTTTTTGCTGAAAGCCTTATTTGTCCAACTAGGCTGATTTGCTGAGAATATTAGTTCTGCTCTTGGCTTTACACCTAATGAATTTTTAAACCCCATTAAACTGAACCAGACACGAGGGCAGTTGTACACTTGTTAATGCAGTGTAATTGATGAGCTGTATTGCTACTGGAGGCAGTGGCTCAGACTAATTAGTTGTGCACTGAAATACAAAAACATGGCATATATAACTTGTTTTGCCTCATTCCAGTTTAACACATGCTGACCCCCTTTTTTTGTCCTCCTTTTCTACTAATAGAGCAATCTACTTTGGTGCTTACTCCACTGCCAAAGAGAAACTGAACGGCGTGTTGGAACCTGACTCCACACAGGTGCACATGGTGTCGGCTGGAATAGCAGGTAACTACATGTCTGCAAAAAAGTCTTTTTTTAAAGTCAAAGTTAAATTAGTTGCATAAAACACTCTCAAGTCTTTTTCTTACAGTCTTCTTCTATGGATTTAAGATTTTAACTTCCTTGCCTTAAACTTAAAGAATCCCCACAGTGGTGGTACAAAAGACTACTAGTACCTACTCTACTCAACTCAACTTTACTGTACTCGGTTTCAGTCATTTTTTTCATGATAATTGAGTACCACTTAATATGCATAGGGTCGTTATAGCAACGCGCCCGAAAGTCCACGGCGTCATTTCTATCCAACAAACAACATGACAGCGGGCGATAGTGATGCAATACCTGCTGCTCAGTGTGTGGCTTTTTCAGACTCCGGGACCACCTTGTTGTTTTTGTGTAGCCGTTTCCCTCATTGCTGGATTTCAAAAATGGCGTTTCTGATTTTTGTAAGAGAGTGGCTCTCATGAGTCATCGAGTTACGCCATTGACTGGCCAATCAGTGTCATGCACTGATTGGCACATGTTGCACATGTTGATGTCACATTTCCAGAACCATAAGTCAGTTTATTTGTACATTTGAACACTGGAGTCTGTGAAGAATGACTCACTTTTGGAACCAGCCTCAAGTGGCCAATGTGGGAACTGCAGGTTTTGGCACGTGTGTTTTTTGTTTTGTTTTGTTTTGTTTTTAAATTAGCTTTTGTTTTTTGTGCTTTCTTTTTTTCTTTATCCAGCACAAATATAATCTCTTCATTCTTAAACTAATTTGGTGGTGCAATAAAGGTCAGACTGCAAATATGAAATGCACATCCATATCGTTTCCTTAAAAACTATAGAGTTTTAAATTTATAAAGTATTTTTCATTGCAGTAAATGGCTATGTCAAAAGAAGAAGAAGGAGAAAACTAGAGGTGTTTTATGCAACTAGTCCCCAAGGCATCAGACAGACATGCATCATCGTGTCCTGCTTTTTAGAAACTAAAATAGCAGTTGTTTCTAATGTTGTGAGCATATTGATCTTGACTCTTCAGTGTTGGTGAGCTTCCACAAATAGTCATGTTACATGAAAGTTAAAGTGGTAAAACTAATGTTGTATCAAATTTGATTAAAATCCAGTTCCATACAAGTTGTGACGTGTGTACAATGTTGTAAATCTCATCAACCCAAATACTGTTCCCAGTAAAACAGTAAAAAAAGTCATGAAATGTTCAAATCTAGACATTTTACTTTTTATCAAACATATTAGCTCATGTTGAATTTGATGGCAGCAACATGCCCCAGAAAGTTGGGTGAAGACAGCAGAAGGCTATAAAAGTCAATTGGACTAAAAAGAAACATTTGGAGGAACATTTTGCAACTAAATAGGTTACCTGGCAACAGGTCAGTAACATGATTGGAGCATGATGATGAAGAGCATTTTAGAGGGACAGCCTTTCACCAGTTTCCAGGAAACGGTGTCTATAAATTTCATCATACTGTTAATCAGACATTAAATATCTCATCATCTACAGTATATAAAATCACTAAAAGAGCTCTAAAAGAAATCCCTGTGCACATTCTGGATGTACAGACAGAACTTCAGTAAAAACAGGAATGATTCTGTCATGGAAATCAGTGCATATTTCTGAGATTTTCAAATGCATTGCATTCAGTTTTATTTCGATTTTACTGCGTCCCAACTTCTATGGAATAGGGGTTGTAGGAAAATCCTACAGGCAACACTTGTGTTTCTTTACTAGTTGCTGTGTGTGTGTGTATGGCTCCCTTTGCAATGCTGATTAAAATAAATGTGTTATGAGGTCAGATTTAAATACCACTCCACAATTCTCTGATGCCTTGCATGTCAGGGGTGGGTTATCTGCTCTCAAGTGGCTGATTGTTTTGGGAATAATAAACCTGTATGATATGGGTCAGTCAGACTGCTTCACTGGGTTTCTGGGTGAATCCAAAGTTCACAGTAACACCACTTGTAGCACACCATGACTTAGACCTTTCAGCAAACCAGTCAAGGTCAGCGTCACTACATTTCCCTCCAGCAGCAACCAACAGAGCTGCCTGAGCTGAAGTGACAGGTGACGAGGTGTTAACACTCATCTCATCTGTACGTGACACACATAGCAGAGGCTAGAGCAGTTTTCTGCTGTTGATAGCAGGAAGAGTAAGCGTAGATGCTAGTCTTTCAGCCTCAGGATGGTGGTGCATTCGATGATTCCTCGTTTATACTATTCCCACAGTATTTTAATTTATTTAATAAAATATCAATATCTGGTCTCCATGTATCGATATAATATCACCATGCAAAAGATTGCGATACTATGCTGTATTCTTTTTTTTCCCTTCCCTACCACTAACATTTAAATACAAATATTAAGTAATATTAAGATGTATGGAATATAGATTGCATAACCTAGTAAAAATCCGAATGGCAGGTGAAAGATGACATTAAGAGGCTCTATATAGGAGCGTAAAGTATAATAGACAGTGCAGAGTGTTTTCAGTTTTAGGGTTTGAAATAAATTGTTAGCAGATGATTCTCTGCTTGACACACTTGGATATGATGGTTGAGGAGCTGCAGAAAGGCTCAGTAAAAATAAAAAGATAATGCAGAGCTTTTCTAGTAGAGCTGAAAATGAGCATAACCGTCCCTATTATCCCTTAATCCCTCAGAACTGCAGGTATCCATGCAGCATTGTAGTTTTGCAGTACTCTTGCATTAAACTGTTATTTTTATGTAAGGGGATTTATTTCAATCAATGAACAGCTGTTCTCTCCCGTCATATCCATTCTGCTGTCTTTGTGTGTGTGTGTGTGAGTGTGTGTGAGTGAGATTTCACATGACGTTGTGCATTATGTTAAATCCTGCGGGGTGATGGTGGGAATGGGATCTTGAATGGTTGCATGCCGGGTCTTTTCGCAAACACACAAGCCCTGTGTCTGTTTTAGGCTTTTACTCTACCGTAGCTCTCCTCTCGCAAGGGCATGAGACCCCCGCACCACCAGGGGTCTCTAGCTGCATCTGTGAGGAGTTACTTGGGTCTGCGTGAGTACTCGCCACAGATCTGTGCTTCTTCTTATGTCTGGTTCTTCTTTCTCTAACTCTCACCTAGCTCATTGGATAAGATGGAGTTTTTCTCTCTTTCTTACAGCTGTTAGCATGACATACAAATCTTATAACATGCAGTTTCCCCTCTACTTGGGGCTACCTGCTTTTGTGGCTTTGATATTTTTTTAATTTAATTTAATTAATTTATTTTTTTACTAAAAGAACCTGTTTATTCTTACTTTACTGTTAGCATCTTGAGAATTAGCTTATCATATTTCTTCATTTTGTAGAAGAGTAACCTTGTTGTGTTTTTTTACCCTCTTTAGGTTTTACAGCCATCACCGCAACCAATCCAATATGGCTCATAAAGACGCGTCTACAGCTGGATGCAAGGTGAACAGTTCATGTAGCTTTCTCTTTCTTTTTTCTCTGTTGCTCTGATATGCGTCACCACACAGATATTCGCTGTCATTGAAGAACATGTTGCTATCTTTATTTCTGAATCCTCCTTCATAGTTTAAACCAGTTCTACTGAACGAGCGCTGCTTTTGTTTGCACCTTGTGCAGCTCGCCTGGCTGGGTGTGGTCTGTCTTTCATAACCATAAAGCTTCAGGCTTTGACTTTCCTTTTTTTTTTTTTTTACATGTACAGTAGGTTTCAGAAGTACTTGTAAATCTGACTCTGAAACACTAAGAACAAGGAGCTGTCTGTTTAGATATTGGTTGAATTTAAAGAGATCACACTCAATGCTCTGCATTTAGCTTTAAGTGTTTTCGTGCCCTTCCCACGAGGCTTGCTATGCAAAACGTTGCCAAACTGACTAAAGGTTAATTGGCATGCGAAGCGCATGATGATCATAGAACAGTTTTCACTTTACACACTCGAATGTGTTTTCAGTGTAAATTTAAACAGTGAACTGGAGACAAATCCTGTGCTTTTGTATTTTCTGCAGTGTAATCGAGGAGTCCATCTTTGCAGGAGCCTTGCTTTGTTCTGTAAACGGGTGGCTTTGTTTGTTTTGTTGAGTAATGTTACCCGGACAAAGGTTAAATTTCATTTGTGTGGAAGTCAGGTGGCTCAGCTCCCTGTTTTATGTTTTATATTCTTAGTAACTGTGTGCAGTTTTCTTTCGTTTAGGGGTTTGGGGGGGTTCTGTTTGTATTTTTTTTGGGGGGGGGTTACCCCTGAGCCATGAAAAGCTGATGTGGCATTGTCATCACCTCGCTGGACAGATGGCTGGGCGGCGTGAACACCCAAGTTTGTGACTTGAGAACGATTTTCAAATTGATACCACAGGTGTGTCTACTGAGGATCTCTGAGGTTGAATCGCAGTGATCTCGACCTCAATATCAAGGTCAGAGGTCAGGTTTTCTGAAAGTCATCCAGGATTCTGAGCTTGATATCATAGGTGTAACTAATAAGAGGCTGAGTGGCTGCTGGAATTGTTAATTATTTTACATACTGTGCTCTGTAAATGCAACTTCTGTACAATATCTCTTCATCCCTCCTTAAAGTCTCTGAAGAAGAGCAGTTTTTTTTTCTCCAAATCCACAGTGAGAGGAAGCAGTATGCTACACAGTTTGTAATCCCTCCATTTTTCTTGTGTTTTCAGGAATCGAGGCGAGCGAAGGATGAGCGCTTTCGAGTGCGTGCGTCAGGTGTATCAGACAGACGGCTTTCGGGGCTTCTACAGAGGGATGTCGGCATCCTACGCCGGCATCTCAGAGACTGTGATCCACTTTGTGATCTATGAAAACATTAAACGGCGCCTCCTGGAGGCCAAGGCACCACAGAATATGGACGAGGAGGAGGATTTGACAAAAGATGCTTCAGACTTTGTGGGGATGATGCTTGCTGCTGCCACCTCCAAGACTTGTGCCACATCTATTGCTTACCCTCATGGTGAGAGGCTGTTACTAGCTGTTCTCATCTGGATGTCTGATCACCCCCCATTATGTTCTCTTACCCACCCTCTCTCTTGTTCAAATTTGCAGAAGTGATTCGCACGCGACTACGCGAAGAAGGCAACAAGTACCGCTCTTTCTTCCAGACGCTAACGACAGTGCCCAAAGAGGAGGGCTTCCGCGCCCTGTACCGCGGTCTCACCACCCACCTGGTACGCCAGATACCCAACACGGGCATCATGATGTGCACCTACGAGCTGGTAGTCTACCTCCTGAACGGTTAAAGCCTCCCCACCCCACCCCCCTCCCTCCTCTATTTGGAGAAAGGAGACCCAGAGCACCTGCACACCAGCTAGCACAGCTAACAGCCTGCTTCCAGAGACAGCACCTCAACTGCTGTCTTGGTGACACAAGACAACACGAGCGGTCGTTCATAAAAAAGTCTGGAGTTTTGTTGTATAGACGAAGAAGGAGTGTGAGAAAGATCTTTGCGTTGGTTTGGGCATCGAGGTTTAGCAGTGGCAAAGAAGTAGATCCCCTATTTTCACTTTTATTCCATCCTTTTCTCCATTATGACGTAAACTTTCTTCCTTATGAAGAAAGAAGCTAACTTCCAGCATATTCTATCTCTTAACATTACTAATAATGAAGCTCCGTAATACCAAGTGAGCATAGAACCATCTTAAGTAAAAAGCTTAGATCCAATCCTCATGATCACTTTCTTTTAAAAACAGTTTAGCTCTAGTGCATAGTCCTCCACATATCCCTCAGAGAACCAGCAGAAATGCAGAATACAAAGGCCCCGAAGTCGATAGCTCATCTCGATGTGCATCACAGAGGTCCTGAGAGCGAGGAGGAATCGGGGGTTTGTGGCTCACAGAGGGGTGGAGGGAGGTGGATGGAAGAAGACGTGCCTTGTGTGAAGACCGTTGAGCAGCTGGAGATGCATCTCTGGCTGATCTAGAACAACAAAACGTCAAGTCATACACTGGTGTTGTTTGATTTCAGGTGCCCTCAGTCACCGTTTTTACATATCATGAAGGTAAATGCAGTCACCTGCTGGTTTTCAGCATCCCTCACACTGACTCTGTTATCATCCAAATGATTCAATTCTGTAATCTCACCAAACTAAACAACAGTATAATCCACCGCTCTAAATGCTGCTGTGGTTCATGGTGTGAAGTAAAAAACAGTAGAGGTAACTAAGCTTAACAGACTGTGGCATAGATGCAGATAAATATACGAAATAACTACCTAACGTGATTGTATTTGTCGGGCCAATTTAGTTGAGATGCAGACGTGTAGTGTGTTTTCTTTACTGGAGCACTTGGTAGTTGTTACCTTTCTCTCAGAAAACGTTATTGTTCAATAGCGGCTTTTCTTTCTCCATAGTGCTCATCTCATTGTACTCTAATTTTTATTCCCTTAGCTGGAAAATCCAGGCTAGTTTTCCAGGCGAGGACAATCCTCTTGAGTTTACACTGGAACACTTGTTGTACAGCTTAGCCAGCACGTGGAGGAGGTCGGCCAGGAATATTCTGTGTCATAAAACACACATTAATTAACTGCAGTTTAAAAACAAAAAAGAAGTTTGTTTTTCTTGATTCCCTATAATGTTGTTGTTTTGTTTTGTTTTTCAGTCGTTTTCAACCAGTTAGAAAAATCTTTTTTTGGGTGAGTGTGACCAGAGGGTCAGTGTGTTTTATGTCTTCTTTGGAAACCTTTGAGGGTTTTTTTTTTGTTTGTTTTTTTGTGGCATCTTTGTTTAAACATTACAAACAATACAGTGTTTTTTTGTTTTTGTTTGTTGTTTTTGCTGTGATTGTATTTATCCCGTTAACTTTCCTCCTGTTGTGATCCTCCCATTGTAGAGTGGGTATGTTAAACGGTGATTCAGCCCGTGACGCTAACAACGCACATCTCGCTTTATGACCACGGGCTCGCCCTTCAGATGTCTTTATCCAAACACTTCACCGCTCAGCTCTTGGTTTTACAGCACGCACAAAGGATGCTCTAGACTCTTCTTTAGACTCTCTGTGTTAAAGTGCAGAGTGTGTGCGTGTGGCATACAGTACCATCAGCACACACTCTTGATGTCGTGCAAATCCACGAGTGATCTGTTGCTGCTAGTAGCGATCGGACAGTTGCGTATCATGGTGCTGGCTTCACTCACGTGGATTTTGAAGGCTGGACAGATAGTGTGAGCTGATTGTACCTAACCCGATTAAAGGGTCATTTCACTCAAATAAGAGAAAATCTTTCCTCATCTTTCCCCCTGACTCCTAAAAATCTGGAGCGTAAAAGTGCTAACAATGAGTACATTTTATTTTTTAAACTTCGGGTGATGTGACCCTGTACATGTGCATTTCTAAGCATCTCTTCATGTTATTTGTCAGATGAACCAATCTTCCCTTGTTATTCCTCAACCCCCACACATTTGCATTATGTACCAGTGAGTGTGTGTGTGGGTTTTTGTTTTTGTTTTGTTTCTTTTGCGTGCGCTTGCCCAGATCAGACTCCCATGTGTGTCATTCAGTTGTATTGTGTGGGCGGGAGACCTGCAAACAGTGTTGTTGTTGAGTTTTGGTTTTTTTTGTTTGTTTTTTAAGTTAATCACTTGAAATTTTTTGCCTTTTCCTGACGCTCTTTGTTGTGTTGGTCCATGTTGTCCTTGATGAGTCGGCTGTGAGTGCGACTCACTATGCATTCTCTCATAACTGTTTTTGTAAAACAAAGTGTCAATAAACCGGAAGGAGTGCAAATGTATTCTGCTGTCAGAGCATCTTTCTTAACTACTCTGAAATACAATTTTTGTTAAATCTTTTTTCCTCCCCTTAAAGCAAATATTGAAATCTTTCGCCTGCTCACGCCTCTAACATGCATCACAATAACATAGTGTGTTGTCAGGATCTGTCAAATTAGTATTCTTCCTAGGATTAGCAAAAACATGAAACTATATTGGCAATATTTAGGTGTAATAAAGAGGCACTATCTTCTGTAGGTGGCTACATAAGATATTATACTGCAAAATGTATATAAATGGAAAGACGAGTGAATAACTAAAACTTAACGGGTAAACAACACTGTCAACAACAGGGTTAGATAAAATTATGTACAGTCACTGGTCACTTTATTAGGTACACCATATTACTGTTGGGTTGGCCTCCCTATTGCCTTCAGAAGTTTACGAATTCTTGGCAGAGATGAAATAAGGTGCTGGAAACATTCCTCAGAGATGTTGGTTTGTATTGACGTAATGAAACAACGTCACACAGTCGATGTTGATTGGCCCAAAGGTGCTTTTTGGGTTTGAGATGTGGTGACTGTAAGGAAACTGTCAAGAAACCAGTTTGAGATGATCTGGACTTGTGGTGGACGGTGGATCACAGGGCTGGAAGCAGTCGTCAGAAGATGTGTACACTGTGGTAATAATGGGATGACATGGTCAGCAAGAAACTATCCACCAGCAGCCTGAATCACTGACACAAGGGAGGCAAACTCTGACCCTACAACCAAGTGCTGCAACAAAAATCAAGACTCATCACACCAGGCTCTATGTGATTTGTAGCCTCAGTTTCCTATTGATGACTTTAGTTGTAACAAGTGCTTCTTTGAGTTGCTGTTTCCTTCCTATCAGCTCTAACCAGTCCGGTCATTCACCTTTGACCTCTGTAATCACCCAGAGAACTGCCACTTGCTGGATATTTTCTCTTTTTCCATTCTTTGTAAACCCTAGAGTTAGTGGTTTCTGAGCCACTCAGACCATCTTGTTTGGCACCAGCAGCCATGGTGCTAAGTACCATGGTTACTAAAAAGACAAATAATTTGTCTTCTTTCCCATTCTAGTGCTTAGTTTGAACTTAAGCAGGGTATCTCAACTTTGTCTACATGCCTAAATATATTGACTTGCTGCCATGTGATTGGCTAATTTAATATTTGCATTAACAAGCAACTAAACAGGCCTAACAATGTGGCTCGTGAGCATAAACAGAATAAGGCAGAAAGAGACCTAACACTGCACAGAAGAGCATTTAAGGTTAAAAAATGAATGGCCCAGGGGCCAGAATCAGCTTGCCAAACTCTCCTGTCCAGCCCGCTGTGCTGCTTCCTGCACAACCAGAATTAAGGTTAAAGTGGCCCACGGTGTAAAATGAGTTTGACATCCCTGATTTTAAACAAATATGTCCACTGTGTTTATAAACTGTGGTTTTCATTATTGTGAAACTTGTATTTGTACTTGTGTTTTTTCAATGTGTGTTATCATTATTTTTGCAAAGGACTTTTGTTAAATTCAATGATATTATTGTGAGAAAATGTAATAAGGTTCGTTAATTCATTCAAACCCCTGAATGTGGTAAGTTACAGCTAGCTCACTAACCTTAGCCTGCCTCCTTGTTAATGTCATTACAGGCAAAACACGTCCTGAGTGGATGTTTCTGTAGCCAACCAGACTCAGAAAAACGCTGACTGTAACTTGCATGCTTCAAAAGGCTGCACGATTTCATTCTGTAATTAAGGCTAAGAGGTATGAAATGATGATTCTCACACCACAAGCCAGCATACTTCCAGGCCCGCTCTGAGTTCCTGTGTGTGTGAGAGAGAGAGAGAAAGAAATGAGTTTGTGCTGATTAAATAGCAGGGCAAAATGTCAACTCATTACATAACATATAAATCTAATTTAACATACTGCTATTAGACTCACAGCACCAGTGTACTGATATTATTATACTGTTTTCTTTTTTCATAAACATAAGTTTGGACACAATTATCAAAATAATGACTTTTATTCTGTTACAATTATTGGTGTAGCCTGATGATCTGTTTGACCTCTTATGTGATTTGGCACCAAACAGGCTGAAAACAGCATGTCGCTGTTTGAAGACATGAAGACATGACCGAGGAAGAAAGAAGTGAAGAGAGCAAGGAAAATGAAGGTGGTCCCTGGGTGTGATGGGAGAACGAGGAAAAGGCAGATTAAATGATGCTTGATGCTTTGTAAGGAAAATGCATTTGTGGGTTGAGCAGTAGTAATTCAATTCAATTCAATTCAATTTTATTTATATAGCGCCAAATCACAACAACAGTTGCCTCAAGGCGCTTTATATTGTACAGTAGATCCTACAATAATAGATACAGAGAAAAACCCAACAATCCCATGACCCCCTATGATCAAGCACTTTGGCGACAGTGGGAAGAAAAACTCCCTTTTAACAGGAATGGTCTGTTATCTGTGATTTAGTGAGTGGTTGATTTGCTTTTACTGCATGTTCTGTTCTGTTTGTTTGATATCAGTCAAATTTAATTGAATTTCATTTTATTTGGTCTCAACAGATTGTTGAAAGCACATTACCTTCCAGCAGGTGGCAGTGTCGCCTGCTTCTCTGCCCCATTTAACTCTCACTCAAAGACTCTCAAAGTCAAGCCAGTGGAGCAGATGACAGCCTGCTTCCATCCCATTGCTCAGTCCAAATGCTTGGAGACTGGGGAAGAAAACCCCAAATTTTAATTCTAATTGACACGTGAAATTTGCATTGACTTTTTTGCCAACTAAATCAGAATATAAATGAACTGTAAAAGACACAACAACTGATGAACAATGGTGTAGCTTTCAGCTGACAAACATTCTTCCCTAATTCACAGTTAATTCCCTTTGCTAAACAACGGGCATCGCATCATCATATTAGCTCTGACTCACACACCACATGTATTTAGTTAGTGTCAGACTGAAAGGGACGAGTGTGTTCCTAAAACACGTTCCACAATCTGCCAGTGTTCTTGGAATAGTACAAAGGGCTTCAGGGTGTTGGTTGTGGCTCACTTGTAAATTGAGCACTGGGGACACACTGAAAAGCAACAGCTACGACAGAAAGTGATGGAGCCAGTAGGGCGTTATAACTGGTACCTTGTTTACCTCTAGAGTGGAAAGGAAAGGAGATTAGAAAGAGGCAGAAAGATGCTGTGATGGGAGCTTCGGGCAGATTACACAATGGATGGAGCAGAGGATAAGATATCTAGACTGCTGACCCTTCGTGTGGGTCAAGTTACAAAAACACATTCCCATAGTGTATTCTAGGAGCAACTTAGAACCTGTGTCTCCAGTAAAATAAATGCTAATAATTGACAAAGTTGTCCTGAAACAGGCTTCTTGTTATAAATTTGACTTGTCAAGCAATATTCAAGAAGAGAACTTGTAAATACCAAACACATCTCCTTTTGCAGCTATCCCCTTACCCCACTATCACCAGCTTATACACGTATTTCATATAGAACTGGCAGCTAGCTCAGCCAGATCCAAGTTCTCTGCTCACCAATTTTTACTTCTCACAAGGACCTTTTTAACTTTTTGTACTCACCCGATCAGCTCATTAAAGAACTGAGTTTCCAAAGCTTAGACTGTACATTAAACATAGATATAAGCACTGCAATATTACCTACTGGTTTTAGACTCCACAACCTCAACAAAGGTGCTTTGGTCTCTGTTTTTTCTTTTCTTTCTTTTCTTTTTTGAAGGTAAAAGTGGGCATGTTTGGACAAGAAGGATTTGTGCTAACACTAGCAAGCTTGGTTAGCAGCTAATACTAGCAAATTTGGTTAGCAGCTAATACTAGCAAACTTGGTTAGCAGCTAGCAGTAGCAAGTTTGGTTAATTGTTTCATTCTAACCCTGAAATGCTACAATCTGGTAATTGGAAGCTGTCTGCCTGTTGCAGGTTTATATGAGGGTGAAGCACTAGGCTCCAGATTCAGACAAGCAATCCCCTCTCATCTTGCTTTAGATGTCTTCCACGGCTCATACTGTCAGTGAAAAAACCACAACTCCGGCATATGGCTGACATGCACAAGGCATTATGCACACCACATTGCGTGCATGGATTAAAAAGGAAATGCATTTGCTCTCTGTCTCTAGCTCTTATTCTTCCCCGAGCACTTTAAATCTTATATTGTTCCTGGATCTTAAAAGCCACCCAAAACTAACACTAAGTGTAGCTTTTTGTATCTTAGGCGCGACTGTCTGTGGCCTGAGAATCTCCAGCCATGCTTGTGGGTCTGTGCTGTAAGGTTGTTCTTAGGCTGCATTCTGGTCATGTACTTCAGGCCTTAATTATGAGTTTTAGGGGGAAAACCATTGATATCAACTTCCGAGTTGCAATCCCAAGTTGGAAAAATAAGGGGCACAGAAGCATTTCCAGTTAGCTAACTGCAATGTCAACAGCAGAGGATTGCTGACAACGTGTCTGCACAGATACCAGTGCTCGCATTTCAGAATTAACCAATATTTATACTATCTGTATATGTCTGTGTGTGAAACACATTTTTAAACCTGTATTGTGTTTTCACGGCCAGCAGAGGGAGAGGTCTCTAGTTTTCAAGCAATTGAGATTACTAAAGTATTTGAATTCTTGGTTTACTACTGATTGATTAACTCAATAAATATTTTACTAATGGTTTTATGATCTTATTCACCAGTTTTGAGTGTTAATAAATCAAGAGTTTGGTTTGCCCTAGCCAGCGTCATACAGGTGTACATACAGTGCTTAGACCACCTGTATTTTTAAATGGTTTTTTTAATGATAATACTGTAATGTAATGTTTACATGCACATACACACACACACACACACACACACACACACACACACACACACACACACACACACACCTGTTGTTATCTGTTTAGATTTTTCAGGAAGAACTACTTACCGGTATTTGGTGTCTGGAGCACCATAGACAGTACAGATTCATCCTGTGGGCAGCAAGACCCAGACAATTACACAATTACAGAGACAGTAATTCAGCCACAGCCTGTTGACTGTGGACTTAAAAGTCAGACTGGCAAGGTTAAATTTAGAGACATTTCTTTCTGTCTGAAACACACAAACACTTACATCACTGTATATGTGAATGTAAAGTGAAGGGAAATACAGCCAAACCAGGGCAAAGTACTTCCATTTATTTTCTCACAAGCAGCTATCCTCATGATGATTCTGTGACACCACTTCGGCTGTAGGGACACTGTCCAATTACGGTCAGCCACACAACCTGGTCCACGGAGGGATTAAAAAAACTCAGACACAATGAAGGTGTGACACATGAGGACTGGATAGAGACAGATAACCAGTGGGAATGGTAGGCAAAAAAGATTAGGATGGGTGTAGATGTTGGGAGGTAGAGAGACAGAGACGACATAATGAAAGGCAGTGAATGAAAACATCCCATGTAAAGTGTCTGTCAAAGGACTCGCAGAGGATTCGGTGTGTGCTTGGTGAGAAGAGCCATGGCAGCTTCTTCTGAAGTCAGCACTGAAAAGCAGGGAGACACACACACACACACACACACACACTAACTTTCACAACTCTCACAGCCTCTTTCATAGACAATAGATACGCTCTTACACAAGAGTAGAAATTCACTGCTTGCACACTCACACAGCATGCAGCATGAGTCATGTTCGGTTGAAGTTGCTTCTGCCTCAAGTACATCAACTTTCTGACTTTATGAGTAACAGGCGTTTTACTGTCTAAGGTGACAGCTTGAAGATTGATAGGTAGATATTTTCATGCTTCTTTCAGGCTAAGTTAAGCACACCATCTCCTGACTCCAGCTTCATATGTAATAGACAGACACGAGGGGTGCTATTGATCCCATCAACGAACTTTTCTAGAAAGAAAATGAAGCGTGCTTACCAGACAATGTTGAATTATTCCCTTAATGACTCACTGCAGAGGAGCAAGGGGGAAAAAAAATCAGCTGATTTTTATTGACTGACAGGCGAGTGATCTGGGCTGTGTTAAACCCATCAGCTTCAATTCTCTGGTCCTCTTCGGAATTGATTTGAGGCCAGCTGCTTAGGGAGCCGGTGGTCTACTTTCTACAATGAGCCTCATTTCATCCAAACCTTTATTACTCACAGAGGCTTACTTGCCCGTGTTTCCGTACGCTTTTAATACCATTGCAGGTGAGATGAGCACAGCTGGAATTGGACTGGGATGATGGAGAGGGAGTTAATATTGTTATGAACTGACATTAGGTGGAGTCACAGTGGTTACTGTGAGCACACACCACACCTAAATCCAAACAAACCAGTGTGATCGTCATTACCTGAACTGGTTTGGCTTTTGTGGCAAGGTGCATTAGAAGTGAGAAATAAGCTTGCTGAGCCATTAGTTTTGGATAAATCAACAGTTTTAGATAAATCCATAAACAATGTCAGCTTTAAGTTATTTATTTAAGTATGCAACATTAATCAAAGACAAAAAAGATCAGGAAATGTTCTATGGAATGGTTGGATTACATATTGTGTGTGTCACCAAGACATAGTCTCAATTATAGAAATATTTTATTATATACTTTTTCATAACAAAAAGTAGAGATGGCACGATACCACTTTTTTATGTCCGATACCGATACCGATATCATAAATTTGGATA